GGACATGGTGATGGGAAACCCGCGAGGATTACAATTGAGATGGAAAAAAAATGTACAAAATGATGTAAAAATAAACTGCTATAAAATAAAAAAATGTACACACACAAAAAAGAAATTTTCAGTTTTTACTTTTGTACATTTCCAGTATCTTATAACAAGCATGAATTATTTTAGACTTTCAGAAATCACTTCAAAAGTTAAATACCAACAGGTCAAAATGTGTGCGTGGCAGAAGGGGAATCAATCCTATAATAACCATAGCTTCATTATTCATGTTTAAGAATTCAATGAAACTCACTTTTACATTCAATGCATTAAAGAACTAAGAAAATAACCGACCCTCACAGCTAACTTTCACTCCATGCTTGAATGGCAGAATTTAAACGAGAGACATTAAATTTTCAACTAAAAAGCCAAGTTATAATTGGGATACTTTATTTGCAAAAGTAACACTTCAGACAAAAATACCAACCAGGGTCTCTTGTTCCGAAGCTGGAATCTGTGAGGTGCTTACAGCACCATCAGTTGATACAGACATGTTGGTATTGCACATCTGCCTAAAGAAGAGGGGGGGGAGAAAAACACGACAAAAACTTGAGACATCTGTGAAAAAGCCTTTAGACATCTGTGAAAAAGACAAAGTCCGATAGAAAGGAGGTAAGTAATGCCTTTATTAAAAGCAAAAGCAAAAGCAATAGCAAGGGGCTCCTTACCTGGGTCAGGACAGGGCGCGCGCCGCCGGCTGCGATCACAAGCATCTGTCCTTAACGCCCGAGTGTGCAGCCGGCCAAACGCACGGTTTAAATAGCCCCAGCTGGAGACAAGTCAGGGCTTAGCTCCTTTCACTACCGAGTCGGAACGTGTCCGAACTTGACCAGCGCCAACAACGCTGAGTCAACCTTCCCACCCAACCAGCCCACTCATGCCCGGGCTCGGCGCGGGGCTCAGGTTGGCTACGCCTCACGCACCTGTCCACGCCCGGACCCCAGTCGGAGGCGGGCGGCGCCCCCCGCCCCCGTGACCTTTACCCCGGGCGGAGTCCCCCACAGACCCTCCACCAGATCGCAGCTGCAAACTCCGCCCCCCTCCCGGGTGGGGACAGCCTCGCCTACTAACAACAAGACCTCCGCGCCCCACGCGCCCGGCGCCCCCTACCACAAATTGCACAAAGGCTGTGCGCGGGCCGGAGGCTGGGGGTGGAACACCCAAGTCGTTCGGCAAACCCAGAACCGACCACGCGCTTCCAGGCCCATACCTCCTTCTCACCAAGCGCAGTCTTCCGCGCCCGGAGTGGGGGGCTCCCCCGAGGCTCCCCAGTTCCTTTTACGGGACGCGCGGAAGCCCGACGCCATGAACCTTGGCAACCATTTCACTCGCGGGGCCCAGGCCAGTAGGGCGCTCGAACGCACTAGGTCCTGAGAAGGAGGTTCCTGCGGCGAAAGCGGCAGGACCTCGGTCAGAGGGGTTAGGGGGACCCCTCAGACTCGACTTCTAGCTCCATCTTCCTTGTAGTCTCACAGGCCACGCAGGCCCCGGAAAAGGCCGAGTTGGCCGGCTTGCCCCCGATGCGCGCCCCCTACCGCCCGAAAGGAGCGCGCCGGAAGCCGCGGCTCATCCGGGCCTTTGTGCGCGCACGCGCCAGGCACCGCCGCCTCGGCCAATTGGGGTGGGAGCTTGGCCCCGCCTCCTCCGCTGAGGGGCGGGGGGAGCTGGGCGCGCGGCCGCGTCCCCGCGTCCCCGCGGCCTCCGCGTTGGGGGGAGGTTCCTGCGCGCTCCAAGGGCAGCGGCTCCCGCGCGTCGCCCCGGTGAGGCTCGGCCCTGCCCGCCACCACTCTCTTGAGTGCGGGACGCTTGGGACTTCTTTTGGTGGAAGTCCTGCATGTCCTGTTGTGCTATTTTTAAGTTTCATGTGTCTGCACCTCCTGACCGCTTTGGAAACGGCTGGCAAATGCGTAGGTTAGACCCGCTACCAAATAAACCAAAATGAGCAGCTGTGTGATATATTAAGCCCACACCACCAGCCGCTGGAGTTACACTAAAATGAATTCACTCAAAACTTGTTTTATTAAAGTGTGTTAAAATAGCACAATGTAGGATTGCATACACATGTTCTAATTGGAGAAGTCAAGAGTGTCATGGGTACTGTTGGGGATATTTGAAGCGGTTACTTTTCCACTATATGCTCTTTTTTTAATGTTTGAATTTGTATAATGTAATCCTATTAAGAATATGTAATTTTGGGGGGAGGGAAGTGCACGGGACTATGGTGATGGCGCACGGGTGACTCGGTGATGGGAAACCCGCGGGGATTACAATAGAGATGGCAAAAAAAATGTACAAAATGATGTAAAAATAAATTGTTATATTAATTTAAAAAGGAATATGTAATTTTTTTAAGATTTGTTTATGCATACAGAACTGTACAGGTCAGAGGTGCAGAACCGTGAGAGAATTCACCAGAGACAGGGCAGGAGCAGAACAGACAGATTTCACGCTGGAGACAGGAGAGGTCTGCCACTCCCTGTGGGTCACCTCCCTGGCCAGGCTCTGAACTGATGCCGCATTGTCTGTCGGTAGCTTCGTAGTGCTGCGCTTTTTAACCTGTTGCACCACCAGGGACGGTCCAAGAGTAGGTATTTTCTATTTTCTGTATTAGTCACGCGGAACTGAAGACTCGTCTCCTGGCCCCTGTCTATACATAGAGCAGAAGGGAAAGCGCATAGTAGAAGGGAGGTAAATGGGGTAAAAGGAATCAGTACTACACATGACACTCTTGATTTCTCCAAGTGATGACTTCAGTGGTAAATTTATGCAGCATGTGCAGGTGTTGACGTTTATATATGCACACCTAAGACATGTGACAATGCAATGTTAATAGAAAAATTTTAAATTACAACTTTTCCATTTATGCCAAATATAGATATTCAACATTTGTAAGTATATTTATCAAGTTAGGCTATTCTTATAAAAATTTAAAATTTTAAAGATTGCTTACCAGAAACTTTTTAAAATTAAATTATACAAATGAACAAGCTATATGTTTTAAGCGTTCAAAAACACTTGCTCATTGACTATCCTGGCAGTTCACTTCACAACGGGCTTCAAAGAGAATCAGACATATTGTGTGCCTTGAAGGACGAAAACAATTAACTCCCTTTGCTTGCAGAGACCTAAAACAAAGGCAGATGTGAAGGGGAAAAGATGATAGGATTTAGAGTGTGAGGGGAAAAGATGGACCAATGAACAATTCTGTCTTTCAGTGACTTGGTAGGAAAAGACTTATCATGTGTACCAACTACTGCCTGAGGCTCCAAGAAGTAAACAAGATTGCTATGAATCTCTCCAGGACTGTAAATTTCCATTCAACAAGAATGATGATCCTGTTGACAAGAAATCTGGAGGAACTGAAAATGTGGTTGTTGAACTTGTGAGTATGCACCAGAGAACAAAAAGCTCAGTGACAGAAAATAACTGAAGCCCAGGCTGGAGATTGATCTTTTGAGGGGATGATTGGCTCAACATTTTAAAACTAGTGAGTTCTGCAATGGAGAAGAGTGTGAACTAGAATAAGGTAGCAGGGTTAGACACAACAAAAAATCAGAGAAATGACCAGAAAGCCAACACAGGGCCACATAAAAACTAAAAGTGTCAGGAAATACTGCAAAAGTTTAACAAAATGACAAAATACACTGGGTTGATCTGCACATTCTAAAAACAGCTCATATTTTCCATGAAGTAAAAACTACTGCCCTTGTTTTCTGCAGTCCACAGTTAGCCCATGACACTCTGCCCTTGTGCTTCTGGGGACAACCTTCTGCTAAGTTATTGTTGACATCCTCCTCTTGTTCCAAGAAATGGAGATACTTTGAATATCTTTATAATCTTTGGGACTTAAACTCTGCAAACCTTTCCAGGTTCCAGGATCAATTCAGACTTGTATTTATTAATGACAACAGAGTAATCTTTAAAGAAAATGATAAAAACTAAGGTATACCTAAAAACTGTACAGTATGCTGAAAGTTTCACAATGTTTCTCACATTACAGAAACAGTTCAAATTCCAAGTATCATTCCAAATGAATGTTATTTAAAAAGACACGATTTCAGCAAATGGTGAATATACTAATATACTATACAGCTTTTCTATTTTGAGAATTCATCAACTGGCCTTGTCTTTATTTTCAAACGTTTAAAATATTCAGGAATATTCACAGAATAATCAATATCCATTGTAACTACTGCCTAGAATTCACATTTCCCATTTCTGCTTTATATGTATTTTTTATCGAAACATTTGAAAAAAATTTAAATTCCCCTGTTCTCATACCTCCCTCCCTCTCGTGATCCACTGCATTCATGTTTTCATACATTGATTATAAACTTAGGGGTCCATAACTAGTAAGTAAAGTGGGCTGCATATATAGCTGAGGAATTGTTGAACCATATAGCAAGTTTCAATATCTAACAGAGAAAGCACTCCTCTCTTTCAATATTTTTTTGGTGTCATATTCAAATAAGTTTCGTTCATAAAATGAATTCTGTGGCCCTCCCTGGTGGCGCAGCGGGTTAAAGCACAGCACTGAGAATCTAAAGCCGGTTCCGCATGAGTTCGATTCCCGCCTGCCCCGGAGGTGACCACATGGCGTGGCAGACCTCTCCTGACCCGCCCGCTGCTCCCCTCAGCAGTGTACTTCATCGATCTGCCTGTTCTGCTCCCCACTCTGTCTCTGGTGAAGCCTCTCGCCGCCCCTGAGCTTCTGGCCTGTACCCCAGTTCTGTATGCACAAATAAATAAATCTTTAAAAAAAAAAATGAATTCTGTTAGGATTTTGATTCCAGCTGCATTGGGCTAATAGGTTACTCTGACATCTTTTCAGTCTCAATTCTTCTCAGACACAAAAGTGACAGGTAGCTACATTTTTTTTTCCAGGTCTCCCTTTACTCTTCTAATTATGTTTTGTCATTTTTTACTTAGAATTTCTGTACCTATGTATAGTTTGGGTTCCCCCCCCAGGGTTATTTATAGTTTTATTGTGGGTATAAATTACATCTTTTTCCTATTTTATTTCTACTTCATTATTCCTTACATAGTCAATTACCAGTTTTTGTATTTTGATCTAATAGCCAGCAATAATGCTACATTTTGTTGTATGAGTTTTTCAGGCAACGCTCTTAAATTTCTATGTAAATAGTATCATCTATTAAAAAAATCATAACACTGGACTGTGGTGATGGCACATGGCTTAGTTGGTGATGGGAGTCCTATGGGGGTTATAACTAAGCTGGAAAAATGCATGAAATAAAGAATGATGTAAAAAAAAAAACATGTTTATAGTGTAAAAAAAATCAACTTGTCTCTTCTTTCTTATATTTCATTTTCTTATATGCATTAGAATAGTTATTATAGAATAGTAGCAATAAAAGAGGCATACTTGTCTTATTCTGGATGTCAGTAGAAACACTTCTGAGATTTGATGTTTACTGTACATTTTAGGTAGGTTTCCTCCCAGCCCACGTTTTTATTTTCATGAGTGCAGTGTTTATTGAGCATCTATTAATGCTCTGTAATTACAGTTGTAATTGTAGCAATCTATGTGTACATTGGGGTGCAGGGTGCTGAGAACCTCACATGGATTGTGTGGGTGAATTCTCATAATAGTTAGGAGTTGGCTGCCTGGTGTTCCATTTTATAATAATGAGGATGTAAGTACTATCTCTGTATGTGTCACTTTTTCAGTTTCCCTGTTAATGTTCTTGAAAATGTTTGTACACAGTAGAAGCTACATGCTAATAGATGGGGAATACAGAAGGAATGGATAGAAATCAGAGCATTTTTATCAGTTTTTGCTAGTAGATCCCTTCCTTACATTATAAAAGTTTCCTGCTGTTCATGGTTTAAACTTTTTATTTGAAGATGAAAAAGTGGTCAATTTTATCTAATGCTTTGTTATGCATCTGGAGATAATTGAGTTTTCCCCTTAATCTGCTAAAATGCTAAGATTATTGTGATAGATTTTCTAATATTAAACCATCCTGTTTTTACTATTTAACTCTACCTAGGTAGAGTTAAAAAAAAAACCTGATTAATTGAATTTGTAATAATAATAGGATAACAGGATAATATTAGGCATAACTGATATCCTTAGGAGTGAGCAAATATTTCAGGGTATTCAATGGAGACATTGTTCTGATGAGAACAATTACTGAGTTTTCCAAGGCTAAGTTCAAATAAGGTCCAGTTCTTGAACTGAGACTCTAGTTCCCAAAAGTTTATAACCTCTCCTATCCTCCAGAAAAATTTAATACTTTTGATCATATCTTGTCCAAAAGTTGCTGATCCAGCCACTCCAGAGGCAAAAGAGACACGATGAGGTTGAGGAACATTTCTCTGCTTTGGCGTAGAAAGGCTGCTGGAGTCTTCCACAGGTCACTGGCCTCTTAAGGAGATGGCATGGAGTAAGAAATTTTGCTTCAGGCTATAAGATGGCCACTGCCTTGGAAATAGAATCCTAGTGGCTAGACCACAGAAATTATACTTGTGGAATGTGATAAATTGTGGCAAAAGAAGCTGAGTTTCATTTAGATTC